CCGACCTTTGTTTGCCTTTTTTACACAGACATAGGACTGCATTCACAGGGGTCAAGGTAGGAACATTAATCAAAACGTCACAGTAGAGCTGGGGAAGAAGTTAGAGGTAACCCATATGCTAACACTGCAGACAAAACAACCGTGGCTGCACATCCCTATAATCTAAGCATCGGCGTTGAAGCAGGAGGATAATTATCTCAAGGCTAGCCTCAGCTACATAAGACGACCAATAACAAAGGAATGGAGGCTGGGGTGTGGCTCAGTTGGCAGAGGGCTTCTACAGCACTCACACAGCCTGGTGTGGTGACACATGTTTCCAATTCCAGCACTGGGATGCAGAGGCAGAAGCCCAAGGTAATCCTCAGCTATATAATAAATTCAAAGCCAGCCTCGGCCAAATGAGACCTTGGCTTAAAAAAAATTATTAGCCATATGTCCATTCCTCTAATCTTTCAATTAAAAAAATAAACAAAACTAGACTGTCTCTGTGGTGATATTTTGTTTATGACCTAACAAATGAAGCTTGCCTGAAGATCAGAGTGCAAAGCTAGCCACACTAGTTAGCCATAGAGGCCAGAGAGTGGCGGCTCACCCCTTTAATCCCAGCATCGGGAGACAGAGGCAGATGATCTCTATAAATTCAAGGCCACTCTAGACTACACAAGACTGAACAAGTCTAAAAGAGAAACAGCTCACACCTTTGATGCCAGCACTAGGGAGGCGGGAGACAGGAGTGAGGACTATAGCAGGAGAAGACAGGCGCTCAGGGCAGCCTGAGGAGTCAGACACAGACGCAGTCTAGGCAGTCAGGCTGAGGACAGGGTTGTCCCTTGGTCTGAGCATTGGTAGAGGTGAGAACTCTCTAGTGGCTGGTCACTTTCCTTCTCTGATCTTCCAGCATTAACCTCTATCTCTGACTCAAGAGTTTTTATTATTGAGAATCTGTGCTCAATGTCCCACTAAGAAATAAAAACTAAAACAGAGATTGGGATGTATTTCAGGGGTACAGGACTTGAGAGCATATGGAAAGCTCTCAGTTCAAATCCTAGCACAACACATAATAAAAATAGAGAATGCCCATAGTGAAACAGTAAAAATTAATAATCTTATAGACACGTCTCAATATCCTCTAACTCCTATAGGTAACCAAAACCTCAATGTGCTCCAATCCTTCCTATGAAGTAGCGTTCCTGCATATACTCTGTCATCTATACTTTGTGGGGTGGAGACTTAGGGTCTTGCTATACAACCCTGATGGGCTTCTGGGGCGCTGCTTCCTATGAGATCAAGATGTAGGTCCTCCTGCCCTCTCAGATCCTCCTCCACACCATGTCTGCCTGCACGCTGCCATGGCCTGCCATGGGTCTAAATAATGAAATGTGAGCCACCCCAATTAAATGTTCTCCTTCATAAGCATTGCTGTGGTCATGGTGTCTCTTCACAGCAATAGAAACCCTGACTAAGGCAGCTTCACATTCTCCTAAATGGTCAGTCTTGTAAATACTCGGGCTACACACATCTTTCAGTCATTTCGTATTATATCTAATTGTCTGTAGATAGTTGTTATACTGTACTGATTACAAGATAATAAGGGGAAATGTCTCTACATGGTTGGTACAGCCGCAGTTGTTTTTCTGATTTTTTTTTTTTTTTCTCTTTGATCAGCCTGAAACTCTATACGTAGACCAGGCTGGCAAACTCACAGAGATCCCCACCTGCCTCTGCCTCTGCCTCCCAGTGCTGAGACTACAGGTGTGTTCTACCATGCCCGGCCTCTTCTGAATATGTTTAACTGTTTAAATGTATTTGGCTGAATCCACAAATGTGGAACTCATAGTTAAGGAAGGTTGACTATAATTTCTTCCTTCAGTCCATGTGTTGTCTCTCCTCCCTCACCCCTACCCCCACCCCCATTGCTTGAGACATGGCCCACTCTATAGCCCAAGCTGGCCTGGAACTTACAGCAATTCCGCAGCCTCAGCCTCTCAAGGGCTGGGATTACAGACATAAACCAGCAAATCACATCAAACATGTTCATGCCTTTAAGAAAAAAAAAAAGTTTTCTTTATTTAATGTAGAAGTGTTCTGTTTGTGTTCATGGGTTGTGAGTGTGCATGCCTGGTGCTTACAGAAATCAGAAGAGGTTGTTAGATGCTGTGGAAGTGGAGTTATGGACAGTTGTGAAATCCCATGTGGGTCCTGGGAATGAAATCCAGACCTTCTGCAAGAACAAATGCTTTGTTGTTGTTGTTTTAATTGTTTTTGTTTTGTTTTGTTGGTTTTTCAAGACAGGGTTTCTCTGTGTAGCCCTGACTGTCCTAGAACTTACTCTGTAGACTGGGCTGATGTAGAACTCACTGAGATCCTCCTGCCTCAGCCTCCCGAGTCCTGGGATTACAGGTGTACACCACCAGAGCTGCCACCACACCACTACCTGGCTAGAGCAAGTGCTCTTAACCCCTGACCTATCTCTCCAGCTCACATTCATGTCTCTTTAATATTCTTCTTGGCAGAATAGTAAATATAAAACACTCCTGCTACAGACACACACACACACACACACACACACACACACACACACACACTTACTTCCACTGGGTCAAACATTTGGAAGGTCTGTATCATTCAATGAACCAATACTTGTCAATCTGGGCCTGCTGTGGTAGCACATACCTGTAATCCCAGCACTTGGGAGGCAGAGGCAGGTGGATCTCTGTAAGTCTGAAGCCAGCCTGATATATATAATGAATTCCAGGTCAGACAAGGATATACAGTGAGACTTTGTCTCCAAAAATAAAGTTGTCAGCTGACCAATTCATAAAACTTCCAAATCATTCATGGGTAGAGAGCTAGTCAGTCCACAAGGTAGACAGCTACAGACCCTAGACTGAAGCCAAGCTGTGTACCTACAGAGTACATCCCCAGACACACAAATAAAAGTTAGTGTCAGCAGGACAAAACTCCATTCATGTTTTCAGACTCAACAATGAATCCTCAGGCACTTGCCCATAGCCCAGCTCCAGAGGCCAAAGGAGGAAGATCTTGAGTGTGAGCTATACAGTGAGTCTAAGGCTAGCATGAACCAAACAGCATAGCCTTGTAAAAGGGCAGGGGGTGGGGGGATGGAAGCCAGAAGAGATGTTTATCCATTTATATCATACTGGGTACAGTATCAAAGAAGAATATCATAACTAATGACATGTCTTTGGGGCTGGATTCCAACAGTCTTCTGTTATGTTATGTATTACAGATTTGCAAAGATGTAAAGCAAGGTTAGGAACACAGCTCTGGTGTAGAGTGCCTTCACAGTGCATGTTAGTCCCTCAGTCTGATTTTTAGCACAAAAGAAAATATTAAAATACATAAAATGATGCCTGCCTTTCTCAGTGAATTGTTTTGAAAGCTGTTTTTTTTTTGTTGTTGTTGTTGTTGTTGTTGTTAAAAAAAGGTGTAGGAACTGGAGAGGCGTCTCAGTAGGTACCACACAAACACGAGGCTGTGAGCTCAGACCCCAACGCTTACAGTAACAATAACGTGGGCACAGCCACACATTTGTAGCTTCCTACTGGAGTCAGACATTCAGAGACAGGCAAACACAGAGCAGTTGCTGGCCTTTCAGCTGAAACCACAAGCTCCAGTACCTACACACATGTTCATGAGCACATACAGACACATAACTAAAATAAATCTAAAAAAAGGTAGGGGCTGGAGAGATGGTTCGGTGGTCAAGACCCCTGGCTGCTCTTCCACAGGTCCTGAGTTCAATTCTCAGCAGAGAACTGATACATAAAATACAAATAATTTTTTAAAAAGCAAAATAGAGAACACTCCATGTTCATCTCTGGCCTCCTCTAGATGTTCATATACAGATACACACATCTTTATGCATACAAGTACACACGAAGATACAGATATCATCAATATATAAAAAGTGTATTGTTGGGGGCTGGAGAGATGGCTCAGAGGTTAAGAGCACTGGCCACTCTTCCACAGGTCCTGAGTTCAATTCCCAGCAACCACATGGTGACTCACAATCACCTGTAAAGATATCTGATGCCCTCTTCTGGCCTGAGGGCATACATGCAGACAGAATACTGTGTACATGATAAATAAATAATCTTTTAAAAAAAAAGTGTATTGTTGTTACATTTGATGAATATTTAAATTGTTTTCTTAGTTTTAATCCCTAATAAAGTTCAATACTGACAAATATAATGCACATAAGCCAAAGTTAATTACTGTCCATTATAGGTTTTTGGATTTATTTGTTTCTATTTGTACACATATGTTTTGTCTTCATATGTGTCTGTACACCATACCCATGCAGGGGCCAGAAGAGGAGTCACACTCCCTGGAACTGGAGTTAAACTATGAGCAACCATGTGGGTGCTGGGGATCACACCCAGGTCTCCTGTAACAGAAGGCAGTTTGCAAGTCTGTGTGCCTGTGTGAGGTGTCAAGTCACCTGGAACTGGACTTACAGACAGGTGTGAGCTGCCACGTGGGTGCTGGGAATTGAACCTGGGTCCCCTGGAAGAGCAGCCAGTGCTCTCAACCACTGAGCCACCTCTCCAGCCCCATAATAAGTCTTAGAAGAGTTAAATGAGGCCTTATTTTTTATTTCAGGACATCAGTAACACATTGTATTTATGTTAATGTTCTCCTCAGTTTATGATGGTTTCTTGCACTTTCAAACCCTCACAATTTCTTACTATGCAGTAACAGCATTACTTCTCCTACTACCAAATGATGGACCAAACATAGATTACAAGTAAAACTGCATTCTACTTTAAATTACATTCAAGTTAAGTTGTTTGCGCAAAATGCTCACTCCTCGTAGTTGCTTTTCTTGCGCTGACGCTGCACACATGCACACAGATCTTCACATTTCATGGACAGCTTCGTGCACACAGATAAATTTCTGCTTGCTCAAACTATCTGTGAACCCTAGTCTGAACTCAGAAAACAATGCAAACATAAGCTTGAAGTGTGATGCTCACCTGGTCTCTAGCGCATCCATCCAGGTGAAGGATCAGAACTGTATCAAGAATGACTGACTTTGAGAGACACTGAGGAAGGCAGCCTCTGGCCGGTCACCTGAGAAGGAGAGAGAGAATCTTTCACCACACTGAGAACAGACCCTAAGAAGCTTTCAGCAACATGACAGTGAGATGAAATTCTCAGAACACTTCTGAGTTTTTACCGGTCTCTGTGTCTTAATTAAGTGATGTGGGTGACAGTACAGAAATCAGTTTGAAGCCACCTATATCCTTCCTTACTCTGAAAAGCTGAGCACTGTATATTAACTATAAAATCCCCAGAGGTTTCAAGTCTACAAAAGCTCTATATAGTTCTAAATTTAGCCAAGCAATAGAAATAGTTGGAAGATGTACAATTCATTTTAATATCTGTGTTTTTATGTTGCCAGGCAGCTAATTTCTTAAGTAAGGTTAGAGCAGCCAACCACATAAAAGGGCAGAGATACATGAGCCATATAATCAACTGACAGGTTAGTAGTTGTGTTAACTAAAATACTGAGCCAGGTGGTGTGGCTCACACCCCAGACCCCAGCACTAGGGAGACTGAGGCCAACATAGGCTACATCAGACCCTCCCTCAAAAGAAACATGAAAAGGGCTAGAGAGATGCCTCAGATGTTAGGAGCTGCTATTCCAGAGGACCCAGGTTTGATTCCCAGAATCCACATGGTAGCTTATTACCATCTGTAACTTTAGTTTCAGAGATCTGATATTCTCTTCTGTCCACCATAGACACCAGGCATTCAAGTGGTCCACAGACATACATGTAGGTGAAACGTCCATACACATAAAATAAAAAAAATTTAAAAAGTGGTATCTGTGATTTCAAGAAAGCATCACCTTACCCGCCTCCCAAAAGAATGTTCTGCATTTTTTCCATAGAGGATTTTAGAATAATTGAGCAAAACTACCACCATCACCCAGCTGACCTGTCATTTCTTACAGAATTATGAAAGGAGTACATTCTGGGGCTTGTAGAACACTTGTGATTTCAGGGTACCAGATCCCAATTCTAAGGCTAATCCTACTTTGGACTTTCTGGGACATTAGACCTCATAAGGAGCCAGGCCCCTTGTAGTTCCTCACGCCTTTAATCCCAGCATGCAAAAGGCAGAGGCAGGTGGATCTCTGTGAGTTTGAGGCCAGCCTGGTCTACAAAGAGAGTTCCAGGACAATCAGAGCTTTTTATATAGGGAGACCCTGTCATCATCATCATCATAATTTTAAAGGCTAGCAAGCTAACTCTGTGGATAACGTGATCAAGTCCCAGTGAAATGGCTCAGCAAGTAGAATTTACTGCCAAGCCTGATAATCTAAATCTAATCCCTAGACACAGAATGGTGGAGGAGAGAATCAACTCCCCAGTATGAACACAAACACACACAGGTACACACACACACACCTCTCTCCCTCTCTCTCCCTCCCTCTTCTTCCCTCCTTCTCCCTCTGTCTCCCTCTCTCTCCTTCTCCCTCTCCCTTTCTCTCCCTCTCCGCCCCCCTCTCCCTAAGGGCAACCCTCTCACTTCCTGTGAAATCATTTAGTTTGGACACTCCACTGTTTAGGTACATCTGGGAACATACATAGCTCTGCAATTCATCCTCCTTCCCCCACCAAAAACAAAATCAGTTGATCAAATGAAAACAGTAAGAACAGATGGACAGCTAACAATAAGAGATGGTCTCCCAGCCGGGTGTTGGCGGCGCACATCTTTAATCCCAGCACTCAGGAGGCAGAGGCAGGAGGATCTCTGTGAGTGTGAGGCCAGCCTGGTCTACAGAGACAGTGCCAGGACAGGCTCCAAAGCCACAGAGAAGCAAAAAGAAAAAGGAAAAGAAAAAAGAAAAGGAGATCTCCCCATGAATGAACTATTCTCCACTGAGGAATCAGGTTCTTTCAGAAGCGAATGCCCCAGGCCTGGGCAAGGGAAATACAAGCCAATTTCCAGCTTATACAGCTACATGGTACCATTCACAGGAAGAGCTTCTCAGGAGTAAAAACCCATTTCCATGAGAGGATTAATTGTTTATCTTTGGGGGTAGAAGTTTAATATAGGGTTTCTCTGTGTAGCCCTGGCTGTCCTGGAACTCACTCCACAGACCAGGATGGCCTTGAATTCACAGAGATCCACCTGCCTGTCTCCCAATCACCGGTATTAAAGGTGAGTCACAGCCAGTCCAAACTTATCTTTTTAACACAAATACTGGTATGACATTAAGGCTCATTTGAGCTTGGGGGGGGGAGGTTTTTTTTTTTTTTTTTAAAACATCTGGTGTTGGGGGGGGCAGAACGACAATTCCATAAAGTCAGCTTTCTTTATCACCTTTAGGTGGACTCCAGGAATCAAACTCAGGTTCCCAAACTTGAATAACAACAGAAGTGCCTGTACCTGTTAGGCCAACTCGCTTGCCTTAATCAAGCTTTTAAACAAACACAAAGGAGCTTCGAAGATTATGAAATACAGGTTTTGGCTATTACTGACAAATAAATTCCATGTCTGGGGATACAACTCAGTTGACACAGTGCTTGCCTAGCATGCTAGAACCCTGGGTTCAAGGCCCAGAACCACATAAACAAGCTCAGTACTTGAGAAGTCAATGCAGGATGACCACAAGCTGAACGAAGGTCATCCATCCTTGAGGTCAGTTTGGGCTACATGATAAGCTGTCTCAAAAATAATAACAATGAGGACCAGCAGGATGACTAAGGTAAATTTATGTGACAGTCTAAGCTGAATTCCCAGAACCACATAAAGGAGGCTGGATAACCCACTCTCCGTTACTCTCGACCTCTATACACAACCACGGCATGTATACATTCCCACAAACACACCCCATACACATGCCTCACACACATAATCAAGTACTAAACTGTGGCAAAAACTGTATTATGACATGGAACCGAAAGTGCACCACAAAACCAGTTAATGAAGACAAACCAACTTAATTCTATGTATTATATCAGAGCTAGCCAGATGTGGCAGCACACAGCCCTGGAATCCCAGCACCCGGGAAGCTGTGGCACAAGGGTCAAGGCTAGCCAGGGCTACACAGAGAGAACGTCTCCAAGCAAACTAATCAGGACGACATTCTTACTTCCACAGTTACAGATTTGTCTGACTTTCTTTAAGTGTAGGAGAAAATATGTCAAGGGAACTCAAAACAAAGGCCAGATTAAGAACATTTTTGTATCTGGTTATAAAATAAAAGTGACATAGGACTGGAGAGATGGCTCAGTGGTTAGGAGCACTGACTGCTCTTCCAGAGGTCCAGGGTTCAAGCCTCAGCATCCATACAGCAGCTAACAACTGTAACTACAAGATGTGACACCCTCACACAGACATACATGCAGGTAAAATGCCAATAAACATAAAATTATTGTTAAAGTGTGCGGTTATAAAAATAAATTAAAAGACACATAAGAGAGGATGGACAGAGTGCCTTCAATGGAGAGACGGGGCGACCGGGAAAGTGCTATATGCTGCTAAAACAGCAGCCAGACTAGACCATCAGGTGAAACATTTCCTACAGAGCGTGACATGGGTACAGCTCAAGGAAAACACTCAGGCCACGGGATATGAAGGTCTAAAATCAGTGCACCAACTGGACTCATGCACACGTCTTGAAGCCATGAGTCTGGTTGTGTTCCCTGCTTCTAAGGTGGTAACACATCCCATGGAAGGACGAAGCTCTCCTTTCTCTATCTTGGGTCTTTGAGACAGGGACTCAACAATGCACCCAGGACAGCTTCAGCCTTGCTCCATCTTCCTGCTCTGCCTTCCGAGCGCTACAGGAGCAGATATGCGCGGCCCTTATGCCTGCCTTCCTAACTCATCTTTAAAAAGCAGCACAGAAGGCGCTCGCTACCCAAAGGGTAAAGGACAAGGCCACAACTGAGTTCCCAGCACCCTGGCAACTCCAGCTCCAGGGTACTGGATGCCCTCTCCCGGCCGCCACAGGACATAAACTTACATATCACACAGTTCTGACACAGAATAAAGTCTTTGGCTAAGAGTGGCGGTACAGGCCTTTAATTTCAGTACTCAGGAAGCGATGCCAGGCAGATCTCTGTGAGTTCCAGGCCAGCATAAACTACATAGTCGAGAACTATCTCCAAAAATATAAAATCAGCTGGGTGTTGGGTGGCACATGCCTTTGATCCCAGCACTCGGGATACAGAAGCAAGTGGATCTCTGTGAGTTCGAGGCCATCTCTGATCTACAAGAGTTAGTTCCAGGACAGACTCCAAAGCTACACAGAGAAACCCTGTCTCAAAAACCAATAAATAAATAAGTAAATAAAAATAAAATCTTAAAAGGAAAACGAAACAATTATACAACATTCTCTTCTTTGGACCTGCCAGGACAACATAACGAAAGCACAAAATTTTTCTTCCTCAAAAAAAATCTACCTTTTCTGAGTTGTGGTGCCTTTAATCCCAGCACTCAAGAGGCAGAAGCAGACGGATCTCTGTGAGTTTAAGGCCAGCCTGGTCTACAGACTGAGTTCCAGTTCCAGGACAGGCTCCAAAGCTACAAGGAAACACTGTCTTGGGGGCGGAGGGAATGGGGGGGGGCAGGGGTGCGGTAGAATGGGGAACAGGTTTACATGAAACCTACTTTTTGCTGAGCCAGTGAGATGGCTCAAGAGACAAACGCACGTGTCTCACAAGCCTGACAGCTGAGTTCCATCCCTGGAACCCATGTTAGGTGGAAGGACAGAACCCACGTCATAGAAAGTTGTTCTCTAGCATCCATGCACACACATGACTTGGCAAATATTTATTCTCTCTCTGTATGCATATACACACACACACACACACACACACACACACACACACACACACACATGCATGCACACATACACATGTATAAATTCAGAAATATTTTTACTCCTGAAAATGCATGCATTCACCAAGAGACCTGGTACCGTACGAAGCGTGCTCGCTCACAAACAATCTGCACAGAAAGCACCAATTTATCCATGACACAGAAACATTTAAGTCTCTGAGGCTAGAGAAAAACTTACTAGAATGCTGTGCA